ATCTTTGGCGATGATTTTTCTTTATTTATTTTAAGATGTTCCGTGGAGTTTCAGGACTTTTGGAGTTGCGTAGAATATGTCTCTAATATTTGCTCCTTTTCCAGCCCAGAATTCCAGCTGCCGGCATTCTCCCTCCTTATGTAAACCTTATAAAATAAGAGAGAATAAAGTGAAATAACAGTCCATAATGCAATAAATATCGATATAAAAGCATGATGCAAAATGGACGTATCAGACCGCTGGCCCCCATCTTTTTAGCAATCCCCGTGAAGCTTTGTTTAAGGACGCAGATAAGTGCCACACGTGTGGGTGTTAGGGAGTCCGCCCACACATTTTCTGTGGTGTATAAGAGGAACAGCCCACACACCTACGTGTGGGCAAAACAATTAGCGCCCACACGCCTCTTTTTCCCTCCCGATCCCTCTCACACGCGTGCGTGTGGGCGAAGTTGATAACGCCCACACGCCCGTATGTCAGGCCTCGTACCTCCTGGTCCCGCACGCCACGCGTGACGGTCACCGCGTGCCCGCAGTTGCCATGGTCCAGACCCTCGTCCATGTTCATTTAATTGCAGTTGCCATGTCGCTGAACTACAGTTGCCATGTCGGACAACTGCAGTTGCCATGGTTGCTCAACTGCAGTTGCCATGTATGGTCTGATCTAATGTAGTTGCCATGATTTCATAACTTTAGGAGTTGCCACATACTAACACTAGGCAGTTGAGAGATTTGCCATGTGCTCACAAGCATGCTAGGGCAGTTGCCATGTACATGCACGTTAGGGCAGTTGCCATGTACCATGCAAAAACATATGGCAACTCGGTAAAAGAGAGTTGCCATCTGCTTACGTGCACACTAGGCAGTTGCCGTGTACCCTGCAAAACACATGGCAAACTCGGGTAAAAAAAAGAGAGTTGCCACCTGCTTATAAAAGCACATTAGGGGCAGTTGCCATGTGCAGTGCAAAAACACATGACAACTAGCAGCTTGGGTGTGGGAGAGGAGAAGGGCGTGTGGGCAAGATGCCAAATGCCCACACACTAGCCCTTGTGTGTGCGTGCAAAGTGGTGTGTGGGCGAACTGCTGAACGCCCACACACCAGCCCCTCCTATGTGATGAAACGGCCGTGTGGGCGACCGGCTGAACGCCCACACACCAGGCCAGTCCTACGTGGCACTAGAAACATGACAAGATTCGTGCGCTCATGAACGGACGCGGATCCACGCGTGTGGGCGAGATGCAAACGCCCACACGTGTGGGCGTTAACATTTTCGTTGTTTAATGGACGTGTCTAGAACTCAGTCGGTCTCAGTCCAGTGACGCCAACGTGGTGTTTTTTGCTACAAGCGGCACGGTTCGATGCTACAAACGGGGACGAGAAATATTACAACGGTATTGTAAGCAACAACAATAAATGTGACAACCATTCTAACTGAAATACTATAGCCTTCAATGAAGGATGTTGCAACCGGTAAGATGACATGCTACCAATCGATGAGGGACGACATGCTACAACCAGCAAGACAGATATTGCAACTGATAAGAAAAAAATATTGCAAACGATGGCAAAAGTGTTGCATGGTCGTCTGAAACTTAGTTAAATCCCAGTTGACTGATTTTTAGCATGCGCGTTATTGAATTTCCTCGACTACTAAATCTCTACTATTAAAGGAGAATCTGTCGTCGTCGTGATGGTTCGACCATCCTCCTACCCCTCGATGGCACGCCGAAAAAATCGCTCCATCGGTCCATCCCGCACACACGAGATATCTGAAAAACTGCCCACTCTCCCACCTATCATCGCTCGAAAAAAAGGAGAACAGACTGCCGCCAGACAAACACGTCCCGCCCGGTTCGTTGCCAACGCACATCCCATGCCCCATCTCCCCCAACCGCTTGACTCCACTTCGATCTCCCCGCACAGAAAAATCGCCACCCCGCCTCGCCCTGACACCAATCTACCACGACGAATCGCCCTTCTCGGCCGCCGCCCACGGTTCGTTTCCATCGTTGCCTCGTGCCTCCCCTTGTTCTCACGGGGAAACCATAGGGTCTCACACACGACCGAAAGGAGAGGTGGCAGCAGCGGTGAGCTCACAACCGTCGTGCACGTCGACAATGGCGAAGGCGAGACCGGCATCCACACACGGCGATGACGTCGCAGATCCACAAGATCAGATGCAGGCAATTCTAAGGCTCTTCTATAATCTCGTCTCTTCTTCCTTTCTGCCTTCTCTATCGCGATCTGCTCGTGTATGTCCTACGATTAGTTGTTGACTGGTGTGCCGCTCTGGATCTCGGTTGTAGGCCGGTGATGACCACTGTCTCGGATTCCTTCTTCGAGGTCCCCAGATTTCTTAATAAGGTGTGTGATTGATCGTCCGAGTTACTCTGGATGTGGCTGGTGCTCGCGGTAGCGGCAGAGTGGCGTGCGTGAGCGCGGCGTAGGCAACGGCCAAAGCCGCGTCAGTCGTTGTGAGCACGCCGTCCAGGCGACACATCAAGTTCGACAGTGTTCCCTCCAAACTCCTAAGGTATGTGGCCAGTGAAGATCCAACGTCTTCATTGCCTACGAGCCTACGGCGGCCGGAGCACAACATGGCTTGCACCAAATCTGGCTGCTAGAGATAGCCCAGTGCTGAAGTCTCGGTTTCAATTTTGGTCTTAGCATTTCCCCATTCTTCAGTAATTTCCTTGCAAGTGTCGCCGAGGGTGTCGAGTGCGACAGAGATTACCCACTTCTTCCTATCCTACTACATTTGGACAATGACACTCAGTTCTAGCAAAAACTGCAACCTAACATAATGTCACTCAATGATGTTCTATGTCTGTAAGCTTTTGAGCTGTTGTCTTGTACCTTCTTTAAGAGCAGATACAACTTGTACGATGATATTCCTCTATGGGTTGTATAGTTAAGAATGGATTCCATTACTTATCATAATGGAGCATTAGAATTGCAGCTGATTGTTGGTTGAAAAGAAATTCACTTGCTACGTAGATTGCAGTTGAGGTGAAGCTCAATGTGACGGGACCAACTTGGCATTAATTTTCTCCATAAATTGCAGCTGAGGTGAAGCCATGGTTTACTTTCCATTAGTGAAATGAAAGAAAGAAAAGAAAAAAAAACATGCGGCATATTTGTTTGTCCACATCACGTGATCCTCACCATGTTCGTTTGTTAAGAGAAACAGAACACCATGCCACTGTAATGTTTCAAATATTCTATGGTTTACTTATTTATTTTAGAAAAAAAATGTATTTCAGCATGTTGTTTGATGATCACCCTTTTTTAGATCGTTATTATCCTATTTTAAATAAATACATCAGAGTTGTGTTTAAATGTGCATTACTTTTTCTTTATGTGACCTCTATTCAGTTCTACTTTAATTTGTTGCAATGCAGGGGACAGAGTGCATCTTGCAAGAACTTAATCTATTTCTTTGCACGAAGCTTCCGGCCGGAAGCCCCACTTTACATTTTGCAAAGGTATTGTCACGGTTGCTCCAGTTACTCAAGTACAGTGCCACCTGCTTGCATGATTTTTCTCCGCTGCTCATGCTGATCCTCTGTACCTGAACCAGGATGTGACTCGCAGTGCAGCAACACTGTTTCAGTGACCTCTCCTGCTTACATTGATCGCCAATGTCTTTGCCGTATGTGCCATCTTGCTGCTATCTGATCAGTGTCATCACCACGCCGACGCTTGCCGTTGTTAGATCTATCAACATGCGTCCATTGCTCCATTACGTTGATTTCTTTTTTTTCCAATATATGTTGCACAAGGCTCTAGGAGCCAGGATTCTTATGACTGATGTCGTACTACTTATGCTGGTTTGCGGGCTATAATTCTAGAATTTCTTCTCAAGACATGAAATGTTTGAATTAGCAGAAAGAATGAGCTATTGGGTCACATGTTAATGAGTTATGCATTAATTTCAAGGACCCAAGGAGAACACTGAAGTACTCCCTCCGTCCGAAAAAGCTTGTCTTTTTCAGACGGAGGGAGTATTTATTTAGTTTGATATTCTCAGTTATACACCATATTTGGTTTTTCTACACGATTCTTGAAGCCACAGAGCCACAAGTGCTTATCTTCGTTACGGTCAAAGGATAATGTGAGGCAAACATTGGCATTGCACTGCATGCCTTCTTCATTAATTATAGTTTGAAAAATTAATAACATCATCTCTCACAGTATGCGAGGACATTACCATATATTTGCATATGACAAAAAGGTTCTCAAGCAAAGGTAAGGCGAGATGACTGATTTTTTTAAGTGACAACAATGCTAGAGCAAAGACGGATGAAGACTATTGATGTAGAGGGGAAGGAGTGGTGGGGAGATAGATGTTGTTTTGTCTTTGAGAGTGCATAAGGAGGCACAATAACTGTTAGAGGGAAGGAGTGGTGGGGACATAGATGTTGTTTTGTCTTCGAGAGTGCATGAGGAGGCACAATAACTATTGGAGGGAAGAAGTGGTAGAGATAATAGGTATTAGTCATCGTTGTATGAATGGAAACCACGTGTCAACATGTTCTCTATTATTCTGTGGCAACGCACGGGCATTCGGTTAGTGTTGTAGTACTTGGCGAGGAGCACGCTACGAATCACCTCGTCTAGGTTGGCCTCTGCGGCCCCACCTGGCAGCGACGCACGCTGGGCCTTCTCCTTCCACTCCGCCGCATGCCGCCTCATCTCCCGCCCCTTGCCCCCCACCATCGCCTCGCGTATCATCGCCGCCACTTCCGCCCGCTTCACCTCGCCGCCGATCTCCATCCCGATCCCCCACTCGGTGCACTTGTACCGACAGTTGGTCTGCTGCTCCCCGGCGAACGGCCAGCACAGCATCGGCACGCCGGCGGAGATGCTCTCGAGCGTGGAGTTCCAGCCGGAGTGCGTCAGGAACACCCCCACCGCCTCGTGCCCGAGGACCTCCGCCTGCGGGCACCACGTCGTGAGCATGGCGCGGCCGTGGACCGATGCTAGGAACTCCGGCGGCATCACGGCGGTCTCTCCCCTGACGAGGTCCGGGCGTCCGGCCGGACGTTCCATATGAACGCGTAGCCGCTGTCGGCCAGCCCCCACCCGAGCTCCAGGAGCTGCTCGTTCGTCATCACGGCGACGCTTCCGTAGTTGACGTACACGACGGCTCCGGCGCCGTGCCCGTCGAGCCACGCGAGGAGGCCGTCCTGCTCCTTCCAGAGGTTGGAGCCGAGGCCGTCGAGCGGGGTGCCGGTGGGGACGACGCTGCTGGCGTGGAGATGCAGCGGGCCGACGGTGTACATGGGCGGGAGGATGGCGTGCATGGCGTCGAGAACCGGCTGCTCGAGTGCGTCGAAGGTGTTGAGCAGCACGGCGTCGGGGAGCGACAGCCTCTCGGCCTCGCGCATGACGTAGTTGAGCATGATGTCGTCGCGGTCGGTGGTGCGGATCATCGTCGGGAAGTCGCGCAGCCGTATGCCATGGCACATGCCGCTCATGCCGTCGACCGCCGTGTCGAGATGCCCATTGTCCGTCAGCTGCTCCTCGTCTGCACACAAGCGGCAAAGGCAACACTCTGTTAATTCTAAGGACATCATGGCGCGCCAAGAAACGAAGCGGCAGCCCAGCACGGTATAGAATAGGATCAATAGATAGACCTTTGAAAGGCACAAGATCCCGGTCGATTAGCCGACGGAAGTGGCGGTAACCCATGAACCCGCAAGCGCTGGACGTCCACAACGCGGCGCAAGGCACGCCGAGCTCCTGCGCGGCATCGTAGCTGAACGATGCGACACCGTCGACGACGAGGCAGGTGATCGGCGGCACCCCGGAGCCCGGGTCATTGAGCTTGGCAAGAAGGGCCCGGAGGTGGGGGAGAAAGGTGGTCATCATGGCGTAGCACAGGGCGGGGACGTCCTGGGTGGCGTCGGCGTCTGACGCGGGGAGCCCGTCCGGTATCGCGGCGAAGCGGAAGCTCGGGAGGCCGTCAAGTGCCGCCGCCCCGCGGGAGCGGAGCAGCCGGCGATGGTTGAACTCGGTGTTGACGAAGGTGATGTGGAAGCCCCGGGCGTGGAGCAGCTTGGCCATCTCCAGCATCGGCGTGATGTGCCCTTGCGCCGGTGCCGGCAGGCACACGGCGTGCGGCTTCTCGCCTTCTTCCACGCCCATCGCCGGCGGCACACTTTCCCTTCCCTATCTATTTATCTGGATATTCAGAACAGCAACCTTGTGTCGCTGCCGGGCCATTGGAAAGAAAACTGCACACCGTTGTTGTTTTGTGAACGCAATTCCAAAAGGAAATCCTGGCATTGCACGTGACGAAGACTTTTCGGCCTGCTTATCTACACATAGGTGTGGCTGGAAAAAGGAGTACGACATAGCTAGAGATAACAGGTGATGGATGAAGCAATAATCTTCTTTTTTGTTTTCCCCGTTCAGAGCATATGTTGCCATTTTTTAGCCACACTGACTAGTCCTAAATTGTTTCATTTACTTTGAGGGTAAGAGTAATAAATCACTCAACACGGCACATTAGATTCCGATTGCATCTTCCGGGGACTCTTTGCAATCATCATTTGGTCACCATGCTCCCGTACTGGTCCTAAATTGTTGATAACGGGAACGACATCTGACAAGATAATAATTATGTTCATCCACTTTTGTTTGACAAGATTATGTTCATCCATTTCTACTCTAACCCAAATAGATATAAAACCAGAACAAGAAATAACATTAACCCAGGTCACATGAGTAGTGCCCGTGAGATTATAACTTCATGCAGGCCCGCATGATCTATGCCGAGGAGAATTGATGGACAAGATAAAGGTGAAGTAAAAAAAACATAAGAAAATATTTGCCTCAATTTTAACCCCCCCCCCCCCTTTTACATGAAAAGTAAGAAGATAAGAGATAATAAAACCCACTACTTAGTGCAATCAACGGATTGGATCTATCTTACACTTTTGCCTCTCATGTGAAAATGAGAGATAGGAGTGACCATGTTAAAAAACCTCAGAGAGATGGTCTCTTGGCAACAATATGTCTCACCACTTTTCTAGCAATGCCTAGTTATTAGCAATAAGATTAAGAGATAACCATTGTACATCATATTTTTGTTGGAGTTAAATGCACTAGAGGTTCTAAAAAGTTTTGACGGGGTGTCATTTTAGTCCTAATTCTTCCAAAATGCACCTTTAGGTCCTAATTCTTCAGTAAGTGGTTCGTCCGAGGTCCTTTTTTCACGAGCGCTCATTGACCTGCCTGCGTGGCGCATTGACCCATGCCACATGAGCACAGGGCCCATCCGCCAGGCGAGAAACGTCCTAAAAGTTTCTGGGCAGTGTCACTTTAGTCCTACTTCTTTCAAAATGCGCGTTTAGGTCCTAATTCTATAGTAAGTGGTTCACCCGAGGTCCTTTTTTGCTCGAGCGGTTGCTGACCTGCTCGCGTGACGCGTTGAGCCACACCATGTCAACTTAGAGGCTGTTGCGGTTGCTCTTTCTTACAGAAAGCCCTTTGTAAACCCCCCCCCCCTCTTGACATTTTCCAGCCCCTACCGAAATCCTCTCGTGCCCACACCGTCGCGAGCATTTTGAAAAAAGTAGGACTGAGGTGATACTGCCCAGAAACTTTTAGGACCTCCAGTGTATTTCTCTCGCCTGGCGATTGGGCCCTCTGTTGACGTGCCGTGGGTCAATGCACCAAGTGGGCATGTCAGCAAGCGCTCGTGAAAAAAGGACCTCGGGTGAACCACTTACTAATGAATTAGGACCTAAAGGTGCATTTTGAAAGAATTAGAACTAAAGTGACACCCCGACGAAACTTTCAGGACCTCCAGTGCATTTAATTTTTTTGTTGCCTTCTCTAAATTATGTGTCAGATTTAAGATAAGATAATCTTATCAACCATTGTACATGCCCTAACAACATCCAAATCTGTTATGGATAAAGGAGAGAGAAGAAACGAGTAGCAAAAAGATTATGCTTCACAACGTGATCGGTAGTGCTCCACAGCCCTCAAATCCTTAACTCCTCTAGCCGAAAACCACCAACCAACTCTCGATTGAATAGCCAGGAGATCGTGTCCTCCTACTCGACGACCGAGGCGAAAGATAGCGCAAAAGTGCGCACCCCCCTCCATCCCGTGCACGATTTGTGTAGGCCCATGTGCGGGTGCGTGGCGCCCCTGTTTATTTCCCTCCTTTTACAGTTTACGCTTCTTTTATTTTTATAGATGATTATGTATTATTATACAACTCCCGGTTAAGATTTTTTGCAGGCAAACTCCTTTCTAAATGGAAAGGTCCTTATATCATCGAGGAGGTCTACCGTTCCGATGCCATAAAAATCAACAACTTCGAAGACACAAATTCGAGAGTGGTGAACGGTCAAAGAATCAAACATTATATGCTATCTTTCTTCTTTGTACGGTGCGATGTATCCCTTTTTGCTAGGATAGCCATCATCGAAAAGGTAGTGCTTGTGTGAAAAGGACAAAGTGAACAATCCATATAAGTTGTAGTCCCTCTGTTCACTTTTATAAAATACTTATTTCATACAACTGAAAAGTAAACTGTTTTGGGTATTGTCTTAAATGTCTAAACAGTCTTACAAAAGTGAACGGAGAGAGTGCATAGATGTAATGAACTATAAAAATGAAAATGCTCCTACCCTTCGGGTAGATGTGGGAAGGTGGCCAAACACACACTAATCAACATGTTTTCCATGATGGAAAAAAAAGGAAAACTGACCCATGTTCTCCACATCGTCCGCCGCCGTCGACGTCCTGGTCACCATACGTGATCTTATCCGATCATCTCCTTCCTGAAAAAGAACAAAGATTATCGGACGTCACGATGCCGGCCCCCCACAAGTGGCTGCTATGGTTATTCCAACGAATCCATTGTTTATGTGTCAGTTACCAAGTCATTGTTCGACACATCCATCGTCGGACCGGTCTCCCTTTCAGTTAAAAATACTGTACAAGCAATTAACTATCACGTACAAGCAGACAGGTGATGAGAGCAAATCCAGCTACGCTGAGCCTCGGCTAGGCATGCCGATCTGCCCTCGGTTACGTGGAGCGAGTAATTCAAATGCTCCAACCACCCGGCGGCGATACGATCATACTCCCTCCGTCCGGAAATACTTGTCATCAAAATAAACAAAAAGAGATGTATCTAGAACTAAAATACGTCTAGGTACATCTTTTTTTATTCATTTTGATGACAAATATTTTTGGACGGAGGGAGTATGTGGTAGGAACAAGAGCGCGCTCACCTCAAAGTATTCGAGCTAGCCGCCCATGCCACGAACGCGGTGGAGCCTAATCAGCTCACGGTGCAGTGCATATCCACTCCATGTACAGTGCCCCCGCATGGGCATGGCCGCATCATTTCCGGATCATGTGATGGACCTGCGCGCGCAAGTGCATGAGTGGGACAGTGCGCCTGCTCCGTTAAATCATCTTCTTATTTCGTTGCCCCCACCCACCCCCCACAAGCTCGGAAGCCCGTTCCTCAGCCGTTGGCCGTCCACTCCACCCGCGCCCGCGGACGGCAAGCAAGCAGCCGTAGAGGGGGCGAGGTCATCGGCCATGCCCACGGCGCTCAAGGCGTTCTTGAACAGCCCCGTCGGCCCCAGGACCACGCACTTCTGGGGACCCGTCAGCAACTGGGGCTTCATCCTCGCGGTACGCGCTCCACGATTCCCTCTCCTCTCTCTCTCTCTCTCTCTCTCTCTGTACCTGGTTTATCTACCTAGCTTTCCCAAATTAACCTGTGCTGTTGGTTGATCGCGACTACCAGAGTGCTGCGAATTCCTAGTGACACCGGTTGCAGTTTATGATCATCTATCTATATACGGGGAATTTCTCCCGTGCTCTCCATTTCAAATTAATTATAGTTCTAGCTTTACGTCAAAATTCTTTAAGTTTGACAAACATATTAACATATACAATCCGAAATTAATTATCTTCCAATCGCCCCAAATGAGTGACCAGAGAGGTTGTGGAAACGGGGAAGGAGACCAAGAAAAGACAGATGTTTTAGTTTTTTATTTGCATGATAATGTTCTCTTCGGTGAGTCTATCATGCCCCGAATCTATTAGAGCATGACTAATAAATAAAGTTATTGTGTCATCTATAGCCAACCTAATATATCTCTTAGCGACCCACTGCAATTTCACGATTTAAGGCCTCCTTTGATTTACGGGAACTTCGTAGGAATACTAAAGGTTTTAAATTTTATAGAAAAAGTTCGTCCAAAGCTCTTTCATTTGTAGGAATGGATTCCTGTTCTTGTATATGATAGGAAGCAATCCTTCATAGTTTAAAGAAAAAGAAATATTAGCCTAGACTCGATAGAAAAATTCATATCCTATCCATCAAATCACATCGTTCTCTTTCCTTGTAGAAATTGAGATACATGCCATCTTACTTTCTATGATTTTCATATTTTTATGAACCAAAAGAAAACTAATATATACTTAAGTATTATTAGAACCCATGAATTCCAGTCGATTCATATGCATCAGTGTTGTATGTCTGTTACTCATAAGAATAATTCATTAATTTGTTACTTACTATAGTTACAAAAATATTATCGGATTTTGAAGCATGATCTCTTTCTAGGAAGTTCATGAAACGGTGTAGATGAATAATCTTTTCAAGTTCGCATGTCATTAAATTCTTTGACACTGTAACTTAATAATCCCTCGGTTGTTATTTCATCTCTAGGGTATGGCTGACATGAACAAGCCACCTGAATTGATATCCGGCCATATGACTGCAGGTTATTTGTCTGACAAGTCACAGATTCTAGATATAGTTTGATGATCAATACATCTTCAACTATCTTTAGTGACTACTATTGTGTCGTGCAGTCATGTGTGTGTATTCTGGCCTATTTATGAGGTTCGCATGGGTGGTACGGCCGCGGAACTATTTTCTTATGGCAACCCATGCCTCCAACGAAAGCGTTCAACTCTACCAGTTATCTCGCTATGCTAGGGCTCAAGGGTAAGTCTTCTTATGTGAACTTTTTCTTGCCATATTACTATACCACAGTATCCACCAAAAGATCATAAACATGGTTATATCGTTTTCTTGTTTGTTGCATAATTGCCAAATGCTAACATGGCACTTAATTAATGCAACAATAGAGTGATAATATAGATGTTTGGCCTTGGATTTTGCAGTTACCTAGAGAAGAAAGAGCCTGAAGCCCAACAGTAACAATGGCCCGAAGAATACTGTAGACACTATTTATGTAAACAAAATTGGTTTCGGGCAATTTGTAATGCTTGTGATCGTAAAGTTTATGTATTAATTACACTGTCGGAATACAACAAAATGGAAACCCCTATGATACGGAATGAGATCCTTTGACATAGGAGGGATTAGAAGGACGTCAATGTGCATCGTCTGTCCATGCCGCATTCGACAATTCCAGGCATGGACTATAGATACTTTGCATCTATCATACTAGCTGGAGGCCGTCTGGTAAGGTGCACGAAGGTCGTCTGATCTACTAATTAAGCCCACAAGAGATTTGTTGAGTTGGTTTGTTAATTAACTACTTTACATTTTATTCCTCCTTCGACCAGACTATCCTGAATATACAGCTCATACAGGCACCCTTTGTGGGTTTTTTAACGAGACTGTGTACGATTATAATTTTTGATAACATGTCTCTATATTTATAACCTTGTGATCAATGCTACATCATTTAGCAAGAGAGGGATGAGCTCCCCAGGAGACTTATCAAGGAAACTGTTACAAGAAGGGCCTTTAGCCAACTTAGCTAATCCATGTGCAACAATATTAGCTTCCCTAGGACAGTGCACAAATGAAGTAAAATAGAATTTGCACGCCATTGATAGCAATCACCAAAAAAATGCAGCCACGGGGTGCAGTGATCGGCCTCCCTCGTTCATTGTATTGATAACCTGCAGATTGTCCAAGTTCACTATGATCTTGTTGAAACCAATTGTCTGTGCAAGAGAAAGTCCATACCGCAGAGCTATAGCTTCAACAAAAATAAACATCAGGGCCCATATCAATTCTCCAATTACTTGCATTAATAAAGTTCATCTTCTCAACCCATATAATAGGTATTCCCCTCCAGGAAATCTTGATCGAATGGGGCGTCTACATTAAGCTTCACATGGCTCCTAGGAGGTAACAAATTTCTTTGTTGCTTTAGGGGCTGTAGTGTTGGAATTTTGTCTACTTTAGGCCTAGCCCAATAGCAGTTTTAGAAATTCTTAATAAATTCTAAAAGCCCACGCAGCCCATTCGTACAAGGCAGAAGGTGGAACTAAAGTTAAATCCCACATTGCTAGTTTAGAGGGAGTTAGACCTCTTTATAAGGGAGGTTCTTTCCCCACTAGTATGAGCATGAGAACAAGAGGGACATCCACGCGCGCTCCTCCCCCGCCGCCCGCCACGCCACGCCTTGGGTTGCGGGAATGAGCCAGGCCGATGTCTAAATTTTTACCACGCACTACGGGTATACGAAAGGTCACACGAAAACTGAAAAGATTTTTGCGAAAGTGAAGTTTGAATGCGAATGGTGCAGCCCTTCGGCTGTTGGCTGTTCGCTTCATCTCTGTCTCTTCGTTTCACCTCCCATCGCTGCCCTCTCGCCTCCTTCTCTTGCGCCTATAAAAGGGAGGTCGCTCCTACCAGAAAGACGCACCAGAACCTTTTCTTCCTCTCGCCACAAGTTCCTGATCACTGCGCTGCTGCTACGTTCTTCCCCATCCCTACTTGCGGCATGCACCGCGGGTCGGGACAGTAGGCCTCCGAAATCGTACCTTTTGAGTCCTATACGGGAGGAGGGCGATAAGGTTTGTGGGGAGCGCTCAGCGCGACTACTGACTTCTTCGTCACGGACGCCCTGGTACTACTGACTTCTTCGTCGCGGACGCCCCGGACTCCGACGACTACTTCCCCGACGACGACTTCTTCCCCGATGTTGACGACCTTCTCGACGACATGGCTGGCGACGACACCGACCCCAAGTCCAGTGCTACTGCTGCTGCTGTCCCGTACGTGTTCTTGCTCTTTCTGTTAGAAATTCTCTAGCAGTTCTTTGCTCTAGTGTTTGTCCTACATATGTTAGGTTCTACGCTATCTATGCAACCTGTTCTATTATCTGCTTTAGACATGTTTGGTTGCAGTTCATATATGAAGATGTTATTTACCTTCTCTCTGTCAGATCGCATGACTACTTTTATCCATGTTATATTAGTCATGCTTTATCTAATATTTCTATTAATAAAATCATTTGGTAAATTGCACATATTTCCAACATGTAGTAGTAGTGAAATTCGCTGACAAGATCTAGATGGAAGTGGCAATTTGAGTCGCATTTTGGGCTTGCTCGCCATGGGGCACTATTCTTCTCCCCTAGACAGTTACTACTCCCTTCGTTCACTTTTGTAAGTCGTTTCAGACAACTCAAAATGAGCTGTTTTGCATATTGTCTGAAATATCTTCAAAGTCTTAAGTCCCTCCCAATGCTCCACCTTGTACGGGTGCTAAGCATGCCATGTAGACGAAAAATCTGATGTGGCAAGGCAATTAAGAGGAGAGAGATATTTTGTAAGTCGTTTCAGACAACTCAAAATGAGCTGTTTTGCATATTGTCTGAAATGTCTTCAAGGTCTTAGGCCCCTCCCAATGCTCCACCTTGTACGGGTGCTAAGCATGCCATGTAGATGAAAAATCTGATGTGGCAAGACAATTAAGAGGAGAGAGACGGGTGTAGTAACCCCGGAAAGAATTAATGCCAAACGCGCGAACCTAGGCAAAATATTTAAATGAAGCAAACTCACCAATGCATGAGAGTGTTTAGTAGCTAAATCATTAAATGAAGGGAGCTTAGCTACAAAAAACTAATCACCTATGCATAGGGAAGTTTGTTGCTAAGCTATTTAATATGCTTAGCACCCCATCTAAGTACCTGTCCATTGGGAGCAGCCTTATAAAAGTGAACAGAGGGAGTAGTATTTTTCAGTTTCCAGCAGTACGCACTCTAGGTAATTAATGGTACTACTGATAACAACAATGAGTTGAATTAGAACTTACTAGTAAGTTTGCACGTGCAATGCACGTCTCCGCCCAAAGAAAATCCTTGCTCATAGAACCCTTCTAAGCCATCTATGCTCATAGAACCCTTCTAAGCCATCTATATTCTATTGTCTATGTCACATTTGATAATCTATGATGAACTGAATTATGCAAGCTCAGTTAGTCACGTCAAATTTAAAAATATGTAATGTGCCTTTTACTACGTCACGTTGGATAATCTATGATGAACTGAATTATGCAAGCTCAGTTAGTCAAGTCAAATTTAAAATATATGTAATGTGCCTTTTACAAATACTTCCTCCGTAAAGAAATATAAAAGCCTTTTACAGAGGGAGTATAAAGAAGACATGCTAGAACAAAAAAAAATGGCACTTTCTGTCGGCTTTGAATTCACATAAGATTAATTGAAAGCAAAGAAGACATGTTGAAACAAAAGGGATAAGAGCATCTTCAAAAGTCAGAGTGATGTAGCAGCATCAACAATGATCTAACAACTTGTAACACAAGATACATCTAGAATGATAATATAAAAGTCAGCATGTGCTTATCTCGGAAGCAATAGACAATGATAGTAAAAAATGAATTGACCTCTGTCTGGAGAACAACATGCCATGTATATTGGCTATTGTAGAAGTTAGAAGAGTTAGCTCGAGACAACTTTGCTAAATTCAGCAATATATTTGTGTATCTTGGGGCAATCTCCATTGCACCTCACCGTTGTCAGCAAGTGGAACCACTATGTAGCAACTGTGTTTAGCTAATTAGCCATAAAAAAATAAGAACACATGCAAATCTACTCTTACATGCAAATGTTGCACAAACCATTTGGACTGAATTGATAATAAAGTGCGCTTTTACCGGTTTGGCATTTTGTACTTGTTAATCGTGTACATGCAATGCACGTCCTGGCTAATAAAGCCAAAATGAAAAGTCTTAAAAGCATAAGAAAGGTAAGAGCATAAAATGCTTCCACCCAGTGGAAATAAATTCATACATGACATGCTACGTCTAAGCTATATATGAAACAAGATCAAGAATCAAAAGGAATATGTTAGATTTTTTAAGAACCCATCCTCTTTTAATTATAATTTAGAAATATTCGGTTCAAGTGATTACCTTGGTTGAACAACTGCTACTGCTATGCACTCTTGCTTCTCTTGAGTCTTGAGTCTTGACATAGACTATTCATCTTACAAACAAGAAATAGCCTTATAAGGATGTACCCATTTGGATCAAAAGCTTGCAGATGAAACTTCATAGACATTCTAAAAAAATCTATAGAGAACATATGCTGCAACAAAAATTGACTAATCTAAGGACCAATGTTGGCATACAACATGGGCGCAACTCTCTGTCTGAAACCATTATTAAGAGAACAAGAAAAGAACATTTGCAACATTAACATCCGAGCAATTGAAAAGGACATTTCTATGTTAAGGTGCATGCCATATTTCTCATGCACTATTTTTATTCAGAATTCCTACCCGTTGTTATTAATATGTTATTATTCTGAATTCCTACTTAGTGTTATTATTTAGTAAAGATAACATGCATTGCTGTTTATTTTTCATTAGTAAGTAAAGGCAGGGAAGAAAGTCATGTGCACACTCTGCAGATATAAAAAAACTAATGCAATAAGACACTCTTCATCATTCAGAATTCTTTCCATTTACTTATACAAGGGCACTATGAAAATACATTGCAGGGATGGGTCAAAAGTTTCTTGCCTGGTGAGGCGAAACAACTCTTTCATCAGTCACGTACAACGTTCCCTTTTCATCAGTTAGATAATATCATCATGAAGCAACAGAGATCCAAACTAAAAGGGAAACAATTATTGCCTTATTAATTCTGTCTTGCTCCTCCTCTCTGACATACTCAGATCGAATATCCTCCCCTCCCACTACAAGGAATTATCAATCAGACATGATATAAGGTGCAGTTCATAGAAGGTGCTGAACTGCAATTGTGAAAGAGAAAGAGTAGTTTAGAGAAAGAAAGAGAAATAACTCATGTACCAATAGGTTGCACTGATTCATCACTGACCAAATGTGTGGATCTGTTGGTTACCCTGCTCCATACATTTGCATCAACGTCTATACTTCTGTATGAAGATTCTTTGGTGAGGTTTTATTCAG